GTAGTAGTAGTAGTAGTAGTAGTAGTAGTAGTAGTAGTAGTAGTAGTAGTAGTGGTAGTAGTAGTAGTAGTAGTAGTAGTAGTAGTAGTAGTAGTGGTAGTAGTAGTAGTAGTAGCAAGCATAATAATTCGTAGTCGTAATTGCAATACAATTAGACGTAGTAGTTGTTGCTGCAGCTGTTGTTGTTGTTGTTATTGTTGTTGTTGCTATTGTTGCTGTTGGTGTTGTGTTGTTGTTGTTGTTGTTGCTGCTTTTATTCTCGCTGTCGTTCTTGCTATTGTTATTGTTTCTATTGTTGTTGTTGGTGGTGGTGGTGGTGTTGTTGTTGATGATGATGATGATGATGATGATGATGATGATGATGATGATGATGATGATGCTGATGATGATGATGATGATGATGTTGTTGTTGTTGCTGTTTTTATTACACCTAAATCGAATGAATAGCATTTCTAATTTTCAAGTAGCATAACATTTCAATTGCTTTAGAATGAAAATCCTAAAGAAAATTTACTCGACATAAAACATATCGTACGAATGTCAAACCAATTGTTTTCTGCTATGGGATGTTGAACCGGAAACGACGTTTAATCGAAATTATTTGTACTGTATTTCAAAAGCAATTAAGCTAGAAACAATTAACAAAAAGGAAGGTTAAATGAGTACCCAATATCCAAAAACATCAGCAGTTGACTGGGGGTCCTAATTCTCTTCTTTATTGAGCGGTATTGTGTCTTTCTTTCTTGTCCTTTTTGTTTGGGGACTTTTGTTAATTTTTTTGTTGCTTTGTTCTGGGTGGGGGGGTGGGGGGGGCGGGGTCGTGTTTTAATGTGGATCGCTTCCCTCAAACAAAAACGCAACATAGTATTCTTGAAAAACACCGAAATGACATTACCATCACATTATCAAATGTCGCAGTCGGATTAATGCATGAACCAAGATTTAAAAAATGACGTTATAAATCTAAGTAGTAACAGACGTTAAGGAAATCACCAATGAGCAAGGTGCACAACACTCGAAACTGTTTTATTTCCACTTAAATAATCTGTTAACTCCTTTCGTGCCACTTTCATAAGCAGTCACAAGCACTGAATATTATGTAAGCTAAATTTTTAAACTGGAAGAGTCTACCTCAGAACGATAAAGGGGATCTAACCTCTAATAATCTCTTGACTCCTGTAAGTGATTATGTATTTCCTTGACTTGTTACGGCCCTACAATAAAGTCATGGCCTGATTATATCGACTCCTGACAATGAAAGAATAGATACAGAAAGCCAAATTTGTATCCAAATTGATCATAAATACGTTCGTTTTTAGTATTGTCATCTCTGTTTCTTTTTACTTCCGTTTGTATATTCACATCTTCAGTTGCATTTGTTGTTGTTAAAAATCTTTAGACCATTATTCCCACCGATTGTTTAAAAGTTATAAGTACGTTTGGCCCAAAGAGGGAACTGATATATTTTCTCGATTTTTTTTGTCCGATTTTTTTATACATCATGAAATCAGGTTTTGTTTTCATTTACAATTATTGTTCTGTGATGCCACCTCGAATAAGACGTTTTGTTCAATGTGTTCTCATTTTGGGAAAACGTTTCGTGTGTTGCCTTATCTATATATGGGGTTCTTTGTCTCACTTTGACGGCCCTATCAAACAAGTCAGCCTTCGCCCCTGCACTAAATAACATGTCTCGCACGTGATCTCGTCTCCCAGGTCTGACTGTCTTCCCCGGATACTTGAACCAGCTGGAGGAGAAAGATCCCGCTACGATTGGGTCATTACATGACGACGGCTGGTTCGACACCAATGACAACGGTTACTATGACGACAAGAAGAACCTGTACGTGATTGGTCGAAAGAATGACATCATCATGTATGGAGCTTTTGTTGTATACCCGGGCTGGATGGAGCAGAGGATTGTCACACATCCCAAAGTTCGGGAAGTCTGTGTGGTTCCTGTAAGTCTGGGGTGGCTTCCTCTGAACCATATTGCGTCACAACACTGTGGAATCAGGCGCTCGTCCATTTTTTGAGCATGTGGAGTTATTGGTATCACCTGAAAGCTGATGTATTAGCCTTGCTTCTAATAAAATGTAGATCTATTTATCTTGAATAGAACTTGATATATCTGCATTTGAAGGATGTGGGGGTTGCCTTGCTTCAGTGGTCAAATTAGCGAGAAAATGGCCACCAAAGTTTTCTAACTCCAATACCTAAAGAGTCTTTGAAAACTGAAAATTACATATTTTGTGCCTTCCATCAATTTAAAAGTCCCTTGGAAATGTGTTTTTTATATGGACATAAAAGTGGTTAAACCAAACCAAAAAAATTCGATCAAAAATTTCCAAACTCTCGGAAAAATGCCTGTTTCTCCAATTTCGTTATTCGAAGAGCGCCTGATTTCACCATGCTGCCTCACATATTATTATATCGGTACGCTCACAAAGTGTCTGTAGATCACATTTATACTCTCGTAACTTCATATCACGCGTTAAGCTACACTAGTTGTTCTTCTTTTCCTCGTCATTTACGGCAATTGTGGTATTTTAATTTTTTTTTTAATCGCCACTCCCCTCCCCCTTCCCCGCAACCCCTTCCAAAATCCCAATCATTCTTTAATCATAAAAACTGAATACGATATAATGTTATGGGCTACACTAATCCAGTGACGCTAAAGGTACGAGTCATGCGAAACCTTTTATTACATTGTTGCCTCTTTCGTCGCAAGGTTCCTCATCCGGTTCTGCATCACGACATCTGCGCATGCGTACTAACTGACCCCGGAAGTGACCTCAGTGAGGAAGAGCTGACCGAGTTCAGTGACCAGATGTTCCTGGACAAAAGCTCGGAAGAATCCACGCCGAGGCCCAAGTATTTCTTGGTAAACAAACACGTTTCTTTTTTTAAATTTATATTGTAAATGTAGTTGCTTTTTCCCTTCCAACCCACCCACC